GTCGTGTTGCTGTTCGTTTGTTACCATTTGTGAATGCCACCTCAGACTTTCGTAGATTGTGACGTCAGATGACCTGTCGGAGATCTACCCTCGGGGTGTTGCCACAGATGGGCAGGGTGTTGCCACAGATACAGTCAGTGTATGATGGACGCTGAACCTTGCTGCAGCGAGAGTTGCTCCACGTGACACACAACACAACTATCCGTACTCGTCAGCCTCTCCACCAGAGGTTGAATCGGTGTGTATCCACACCACATATCCCAAGGATAACTTGTCCACACGTGACCCTGGAGACATCAGTCTCATATAGTTGGCGTCACCGGCAGGATTTTCGTATAAAACGGAAGGTAGCTCATAAACTCCGTCTCACTGGGTCCCAGATCACGGCGTTTAGATGAATTTGTGCTTCCAACCCACTGAGACTATGGTATTTTCTTCGGCTAGCCGATTAGCGCGGTCGATGCCGATGATAATATGGACATACGTAACCCGGCATAATGTTGCCCCGGTGGTATAGTTGGTAACCTCGAAACCTTCTAGAGGTTCTAGAGGTCAGGTCAGGGGTTCGAATCCCGGCGTAAGCGAGATTTTCTTGCAAAGGGAGTTCTTCTCTCGCTTCCGCTCCTGGCCTAGATGATAGCGCTAGTTTGTGTGAACACAGAGGGAAGAGAGTGCTGAACTCTTCTCGCACTAAATATCCAACGCAAAGTACCGCAGAAGGGGAGGGCAGAGAGGGCTCTTCTGTGTGACCACGGGTTGGAGTAAACGACACCCGTGCTGTGAGCGCTGATTTGAAGTGAAGACAAAAAAAAAGACGCAAACACACACACACACACCACTTCCACCACGCACGAGCGTGCGTGGTGGAAGGCAGTAACAGCAGCAGCAGTAGTAGACTGATGGACTGACGTGGAATCGCTTTGCACTGGAGCCTCCAGTCGCATCGGCAAGGAGCGGTGTCATGAACCAAGATTTGGCACCATCACCCGTACCTGGACCTGCACCACGATGCCCAACGGAAGTACGGTATTCATGTCCCCTCTGCATCAGCGAAGGATCAACGAACCTGACGGCGAGGAATCTCGCTACACACCAAAAACGTCAGCATAAAGGTCGAGGAAAGGAGCTACTACTCAATTTGTCTCCTCCTGGATCCTTGCGCTCGAGCAGCCAGGCACCTGGTTACGCCGCATGTGGCACATGCGGCGACCTTTTCTCTCCACGCACCAAGCATTGTTGCGAACCAGGTACTACATCGTCTTCATCTCTCTCTGGGCCGTTGAAGCCACCGCAAGCAGATGATGACGATAGGCGGCAACTCCTATTACCGTGGGACCTCAACGACGTCAGCAGTGCCCTGGATCAGGTTCGACAAGATACTCTTGAAACGTCAATTTCTTCGACAGTCAAACACGTCGATCGGCCACTGGCGAAAGTATTTTGCAAACACGTCCAACATGTCGTCATCCTCTTCGTGCAAGCATTTGGAGCTGTACACATAGATCAGCAGAAGTCAGATACCTCAGATCTGTCTCCTCTTGCAGCGGAAAGATATGAAGTAGCACGTGTTGAAAGACAACTCCAACTTGTCCGAGCAACAAAGTT